CTTTTTTTTTTTTTTTTTTTAAGATTCGGTTATGTGCCTGTGTAATTATTTTTCAAAGAGCTTACTTTTTTTTTTGTCTTTCCAAAGTTTAGAATGCACAACAGGAAAGGGTGATAAATTCTGATTTAAGTAGTTTGATATCCTCTTAACCTTTGTCAGCAACTGAAGGATGATTAGTGTTGCACCAAGCCTTGTTTCAGCAATTCACAGCACACTTTATTAATTTAAAAACAGTTCTTTGGTGTAGCACACCATGAAACCTCCTTCCTGTTCATCCTAGTCTATTCTGTGCTTTAAAGTTGATCAAGGGAAGCAACATTCTCTTTGCAGTCCTCTTACAAACTATTTTTTTGTGGGCTGCTGTATAAAAACACTTTCCTACCTCAGACTGATTACCAGTCAGAAGTTGCTGCTTTCTGACATGTTAAAGAACACATCCCCCAACTGTGTAGTTTTCAAGACAATGAAATAGACTAGTATTACTCTCCTTGAATGTTATACCTGTTTCAAATATCTGCAGGTTTGAAGAAGTCTCCAGAGCATCATATCTTGCTATACAGGCCTATAAGACAAGGAATTTGTGTAAAACACACTTGCAGATTACAAGTCACTAGAGTCTGAATCTGTAAATGACTCATGTTGAGGTGGCATAAGTAATAATTTCTGCTTTTAAGCTGCATTATAAAGAATTTTTTTTACCCCCACAAAAGAGACAAGTCCATGGTCATGGTGATGGTCTTTGTAATGACTTCCATTCAGCTCCTGGACTGCTTGAACATGATCACATGCCATTGCTCTTGACTTTGCAATCAATGTAAATTATGCTATCCAGGCCTAACTAGGATCACTGCAGCTGACCCTTTAGGTAGCACTACAGTCACAGGCTTTTTCTGATTGGTTTGGGAAATCCTTTTACAAAACAGAAGATGTTCCCTCTCATTAAGAGAATTCTTTAAATGGGCACCTGAAAATCAGCTAGTTCACAGAGACTATTGATACAAAACACCTTGCCTGCTACGTCTCAAGCATATTGCTTTCTTCTGTGGATTTAAGATCCCAGAGGAATTTATTTTGAAATTTCTGCCTTATCTCCCTCATATAAATTATTTTGGTGGGTTGGAGTGCTAATTTGAGAAAATTACAGAGACTATATCAAAAGGAATGTAAAAACATGAACCTTTTTATATAAGAAACTTTATATAAATACATGAACCTTGCTACATTGATTGTAGCCACTGTTGTAAGGTTCCAAATGATGCAAATACAGAGAGAATATAAGATCAGATCTCTTGGCTGGCGTAATTAGTTCCCAAGAAGCCTGAGAGCTTTCAAAAAATCATGAAGATAAGTAGATAACTGACATGATGAAGCCCATAGACTAAAAAAACCACACTTGTTGTTAATGGATTGTGGTCAAAAGAGTATTGCCAGAAAGACCAGCATAAAACTATAATCCTATTCAAATTCGGAATTAGTTTTTAACACTGCCAGTAGTTTTCTGAGGGGACGGAAGAAGCAGAAATTATGACTATTTTGATATGTCCTCTGGCTCAGATTTCTTAATTACAGAATCCAATAATATTCCCAGAAGTTCCAGTTTCCTTATTCTGGGATCATTTTTTAAATACTTGTCGAAACCAGTAAAGAAGCCCTTAAATTTAGGAGATGTGATTTGCTGAAAGTAATTGAATGAGTCTTTATAAGATTTCTGCCAAATAATGTGGAAATTGTTACAAGTATTCCTCTATTTCCAGAAGTCCATGAAAGAAGTTGACTGCTGATTTCAAAAGTATTGGACGAAAAATCATCTACATCGTCTAATTTTTGTTTGTGGAACATGACAGCTGAACTAGTAGTTCAGTCTTAATGATCAGTTTGAATTTGGTGGTACTTAGAGAATCCTTCAGTTTTGTCTGTCATCTTGAGGTGGAGTTTCTTTGGTTCTGTTCTGGTTGGGGTTTTTTTGGTTGACTGGTTGGTTTTTGGTTTAATGCTGATAACAATTACTGGTGTCCCAAAAGAGAGAACTCTAAGAAGGTACAATTTTCTCAGGGGCAACAAACGTGACTTTTTTTCTTTCTGTCCCCCCAAATAATATTGATTTCTGGGTAAAGTGAAAAGATTAATAAAGACTATGAAGTACTCAGTAATGTTCACAGTTACATAAGGTGGATTAATGATGAGACCCGAGTGCTAGCATCAGAAGTTTTGTTCCAAATTTGCTATTTATATTAGTGGAAGGAAACTAAAGCTGGTAATTAACAGCAGTTACACCACATATAATGCATGATTTGATTATTCTTCTTCATTAAATTTATGCCTCTCCATCTCACAAGGTTTCACTAGAATTACTTTTGACTTGTACCAGTGCAAATGAGAGAGAAAATAAGCCAATAGATGAGATTGTGTATTTTCATCTCTGTCTCTGCCACCAACAAAAGATGTTGCCTGACAAAGACTCACAATGAAAGAAAAACTGTTTTCTACAGGAAAGTATAGTACCTCTGGGAACAAGGGGCATAGCTGGAGATTAGTAAAGATTTTAAGTCTATGTGAAGGGGCATTACTTTTTAAAGAAAAGGAGCACTGATACAAAGAATTGTGTATCAGTGAGGTGCAAACTGTTGTGAGTCTGCCCAAGCAGACCCCAGGGAAGCAGAAGCGGTATTCACTGAGGAAATGCTGTTTCTTTTTAAAAAGTTGAATCAGTTTTTCAATGGATGCAACTTCTTGGCATATATCATAGTTGATCTCGTAAGTTTTGTCACATAGTGCAGAGTCATATTAATTGTATGGCAGAGCATACAGAACTGATAAATAAAACAGTGCAAGATCTTCAACAACTTTGTAGTAATGTCTAGATAGGTTACTGAATAAAGCAATTACCTCTTTAAGATTTTCTTTTCTACCAATGTAGAATACTTGAGCACTTGTCAGAGAATGTTTAGAGATCTGTTGGAGAAATACTTAAGTTATGATGGAGTTCAAATGAAAGCTTTTGAATAGCAAGTTAGCCTTTTAACTCTGTTAGCAGTTTGCTATCAATTGGCCATAATTTCAGAACTTAAGTTCGGAATAAGTACAAAAATAATAAATCAATATCTGAATATATTATTTTATCAGTTTGTCACAAGTTGTGGGAAAACTTTCAGGGCATCATTCTTTTGGAAGTACACAAGGGCAATAGAATACAGAACTGAGATTGGTAAAATATAATCTGAAAAAAAAAAAAAAATTGCTGTTTCACAAGAACGTTGGCTTGTGTTTAGTGGAGTACCATTTCTTGTTATTTGCTGTGAGAAGGTAGGGACCTTTCATGATTTATCCCAACATTTTGAGGATGCATGGACATGATCTGGAAGAAAATTTGTTAGAACTTTGGACATTTGGAGAACATATGTTCTCCTTATCTTCAAGACGCACATTTTTCACATTGAACTTGATGTTTTTTCTTTCCTCTTGAGTAAACAACAGTTGAAGGCATAATATTTCATAAAGTAATAAGCAGTTGCATCATTCTCCTGGACTATTTAAAAAGGGGGATGGGGATTGTGTGTGTGTAAACAGAGGATGAATTTATTAAATAACAAGAACACGCCTTTCAGTATACCTTCACCTAATTTAAAATGGAAAGAGATTTGTGTCCTCACCTCAGATGCAGACTAAATATGAGAGCTGAATCCCTCAGGTTTTTTTGCTGGAACAGGTTTTCACCTGTTGTCTTCTGTGTGTGTGTGTGTGTGTGTGTATATGTATATATCTCTGCACATGTATATATCTCTGCACAGGTACATACATTCATGTATTTGTTACTGAAATGTGCACACAATACTTCCAGGACAAATGGGAAATCATTCTGCTGTATTTCTGTGGTAGTTCTGTCTCCATGGACTTTAACTAAATTTTAAGTATTTAGGATGGTGATGGATTTATTAGAGATTAGTTCCTACTAGCAACTCCAAATTTTAGACATTACTTTTTAAGAATCTCCATAATTTGTAGTACAAATTGAAATTAGAGACAATTTCTAATGATCTTGCTTTTTGTTTTTAGTAGTAACTTCCATTACGTTTGTGGTAACATTAAGAAATTTTAAAATCAATCTCTTTGGAAGGCAAATTCCTTCCCTCCTTTCCTTTCTCTCAGCTAATACCAGAGTCTAAATCTGTCAAGTTGGTTAACTAGCCGTCATTTCAAAAGCATGTTCTATATACTCTAAGATTGTACTTGAAAAATTACAGATGACAACTTTCTTTAAAATGAGTTTGATTAAATACAAATTTTAATGTGAATGCTCTTTCCATTTCATTTAAATAATACTGGATTGATGTAAGCATAGTCTGAAAAAAAGGGCCCATGTGTATGTTTATTAATTCACTTTGTCATAACACCATATTTAGCACTGTTTGTCTTCCTTTGAACACACCATATCATCACTCATTCAGAATTTTCTTAGTACCCTTACTTATTGTCATTCATTCGCTGTTTATTTTAAGGTCTTCACCAATAAATCAGCATTACTGTCTCCTTCCTAAACTATCACTAAGTTCCTTCACATGAATATAGATTTTGGTAAAATAACCATCTCTGAATATTTTGGGGTTTTACTGTATTTTCTATCTTTGTTATCCAAGTGTCCCGGGTTCAGTTGCTAATGAATGGTTCAGTTGGTAGAATGGATGATAGGTATTCTGTTTAACAGAGTCTCTTAGCATGAAAAGGAGGTAATATGCTGATCCATGTTGAGATGTATATACTTTCCATAAAAAAAGTGAAGTTGTTTTCTGCTATTCCTCATTTCTGGAACTCCCTGTAACAGATGTCTCCTTTTTCCGTCTTCACAACCTTCTTGGTGGTACTTTATTTTTCAGATGGCGTATACATGTTGATGATATGGCCAATATGGAAAATTATTCCTGTTTTACATGTTCACTGTATGTGTACTATCTATAAGCATAGAAAATAAAGTAAATTTTACTGTTTTGTTTGTTTTTAATTAGGCTCATGCACAGTTAGTTCGAGAAGTCGATGTAGAGAAGGTGTCAACTTTTGAGAACCCCTATGTAGATGCAATAAGAAGCCTATGGAATGATCCTGGAATTCAGGAGTGTTATGATAGACGACGGGAGTATCAGTTATCAGATTCAACTAAATAGTAAGTACATGGTGACTACAAACAACTAAATATAATTTTCTGGTTTGAACAAAGTAACTTTTTAATTTTTAGCTTCTTATACTTCATGTCTGTACATGCTTGTATGCATATGCAGCAAAAACACCTGAATATAGACTTACTAAATTGAATTCAGAGAATACTTTAAGGAGTGGAGTACTTCTAGTTTAGGATTATATCTGTGTTTGTTTCACAGAATGACAGTATGTGATCATTTGAAGTCTTAAATTAAGATTCCAACTATGGACAATTAATCACTGATATTTTTAGTTTATTTTATTATACCTGTTCAAGCCCTTACTCTCCTCTGACATATACTCACAAATGCAAGCTGAACAAAAATACTTTCATGTACTATGACAGTAGTGAATACTGAGAAGAACAATCAAGGTAGGCTTCCATACAATTCATAAAAATTGTAATGCTCCAGAACTCCTGTTTTCTCATGTTTTCCAATTTTCCCGCACAGATTGCTTTTGCAGTCCTGGCGGTGAGGTAAATAGTAGTAAGCAAGGGTGACTGTGTTTTTTTTAACTGCCTTTCTTTTATGGAAACAAAGCTTAAACTTTAAAGAGCATGACTTTAAATTAAACCCTGTTTGTTACAGATCAACAATAATGAAAATGTGTATGACTAAACTATGTCTGAAATGTTAGGCCTTTAGTTTCTTGGGTGTCGTGGTTTGGGCCTGGTCGGCAACCAACCCCCGCAGCTGGTCACCCACCTTCCCCCTCCCTACCTGGGAATGGGGGAGGGGATTAGAGGGGTGAAGGGAGACTTGCAGGCTGAGATAAGAACAGTTTAATAATGGCAATAAAATGAGAACAATAACGATGATGGGGGAAAACAAAAAGAAATATATAAACAGGCAATGTACAGCGTAATTGCTCACCACCCGCTGACCAATCCCCAGCCCATTCCCGGCCAGCGACCCTGAAATACCAAGATCCCACAGTCGCAACCCTGGAATCGAGAGAGAGAGAGAGAGAGAGAGAGAGACAGAGAGAGCCCCTTCCCGACCACCCCTCCTCTCTATAGTGAGCACGATGTCCCATGATATGGAATATTTCACTGGCCAGTTTGGGTTTGGTGCTCTGGCCGTGCTCCCTCCCTGCTCCCTGTGCCCTTGCGCACGGGCAGGACATGGGGAGTCGGAGAGTCCTTGAAGTCTCGGTAGCAGCTGCAAACATCAGTGTGCTATCAGTGTTCTTCTCACACCAAACCCAAAGCTAAATCCAAAACACAGCACTCATCTAGTCCCTGAAAATGAATATTAACTCTATTTCAGCCAAGACATTGGGGAAGGAATCTGATAAAATAGCTATGTGAAATTTAACATTGGAATCTGAGGACTGCCTGAAGATTGACTCTATGAAATTCAGTTATTCTTGAGTAATGTAGCATATAGCTCAGATAAAATTTCTCATCTGTTGTCAAATAAATGGATGATGGTAAGGGGTGATGACCTTTTGATGTTGACCAGTGTTAAAATATACATCATAGTTAGTTATTAAAGCTGTGGAAAAAGCTTCCATGGTCTCCACATGAATTTTTGTATTAGTTATGACAATTATTCTGATGCTATCATTCCAGTCTCCATTTGTCAGGTGTAAATGAATGGAAGCCTCTTGTTGAGGAAAGCACAGAAGAACAGAAAGGCAGCATGAAGCTCCCATTAAGCTCGTTGGAACAGGGCTATAGACAGGAGAGGTCTGGGATTACATTCAGATCAGATTGTGCTAAGTACCATAGTTTTGGTCTAGTTCTAATGAAATTGTCACCATAGTGGATCTTTTGAGCAGTATTAAAAATAGTAGGGAAGAAGTCATTAAGTATCTATAGAAGCAAATTGCTGGTACATTGCCTTGCAAAAGGTAAATGTACTAGTTGATTGGTTATTTTTCAAGCTCAAGGTGTTTAGCAATTTAACATGAGTTTTTGCAAATTGTGTGACTTTATTATAGTCCATACTATGGATTTCTGCAAAATCTGTTTTAAATTAGAATTGTGAATCACTGTATATGAGTCTTTAGGAGACCATCTCGTATATTTATGCTTGAAAGTAGTGTTTTTTTCAGGCATGTAAAACCAGTAAAAGCAATTAGCAAAAGCCAAAGAAACATTGTTTCAAAAATACAGTGTATGTGTTTATCAATAAAACACACAAAGAGAATTTGCTAGCTTTAAATCCATGTCACAATGCAAGAAAACAAAATTCTTAGAGTTTACTACTGGGATTCACAAGGCAGCAAGACAGAAATAAGCACCCAATGCCCATTGACTTGATGAGTCTTAGTAATTTCTTCTGACTTTATGTGTAAATAAAAATGGTTTGTTGTCCACCAGATCTCTTGTAATCATCTGTGCCAGTAAGCCTTGTAAGCCTCTGTGTCAACATCTTACACATGTTCTTCATTCATCTCTTGCATGAGCTTCTCGTCTTCTCAGTAGTTTTCCCCTGTGTTTTCACAGTAATAGTATTTTCGTTCTGTTCCCTGTATTGCTGTTTTTTGCTTGTCAACATTATTACACATTGTCTTCCTTTCTGTTTCTTTCATTGTTTCTAAATTTTGTTTCTGGTTTCTAATCTATCTTGTATGTTTCTATACTTTCTGCCATCTTTTAACCTGCTTTGTCATTGTTAGCTACACTTTTGATGTTTTTATACCCACTGCTAGTACCCTGGAAGAATACATTAGACGTGTGTTTACCAGAAGAGGTGGGGGTAAGGTCTAAGAAGGAAAATTATCTGCATCATGGAAGTTGATTTGAATCCATTGGAGGCACAGCAAATACATTCCGTTCTTTTTCCCTGCCGCTGGATGCTCCAATGGTTGAGTGTTCGTCTTGTTTTTAGAAGCAATTTCTGTACTCTCTGTGGTAAAGTCAAGAGCACACCAGATAAATAGAGATCATTCTTAGCCCTTTACCACTAAACCACTTCCCTTTAAGGTACTGTTTACAGTGTGAGACATGTAAACCAACACAACACTGTGGATTGCCTTAAGTAATAGCTGTGTGAGGTAAGGTCATTCAATATGTACTGTAGAGGGTGTCAAGACCTTAACCCAAATGTAAACAGGTTACCAGTCAGCAGTCTGATAATATCATGGCTTTTCAAAGCCTAAAGAACGGAGAGGCAACAGTCTTACTGTTGTCAGTAAGAGAGACAGTTGTCGTAAGTAACATTTCACATTCATGTGACAACTTACAGAATTTGGGTTGCAACTAGAATTTGTGGCGAATCTTCACCATTTTCCCCCAGTATGACACTAAGGGGTTTCTCTTCATGAAGAAAAAATAAGAAGTATTTGGATCTGGAAAGTGTCCTGGAGCCTTGCTGAAAAACTTGGTCTTTCTCTGGCCCCACGAAATGGAAGTATTACGCCATTGTGTACCTCCGACCAAGCACTTCCTAATTGTTACACAAGCACTGAGAATATCTCTTTAGTTTCCCTTCTGTGGCTGTGTTTTCTAACACTTCAGATAATTAAATATAATTTACCCTTAAGTTCCTATCCCACTCAGTTAGCTATGCTAGTCGGTATTTAATACCCCGCTTTGTTATTGTTTATTGCAATGCTTTCTTAGTCATACATGCCATGACATTCACATACATATATGAGCATCCTTCAGGTTTTGTTTCTGCATTTGCTAACACCTTTAACAACTTAGTTCCTACAGTTATACAGCCGCACATATACCTGTAAGCATGCAAGTTGAGCTAGCTGGACAGTTAGTACAGAAATGCAGATTCTAGTATTTTGCCGTGTAATAAGAGCTCTAGGGGGGGACTCTGAGGACATCCTGAGAATATCACTGATGGTTAACAGGAAAGAAAGAGATGAATCCTAATAATGCCTGATCATTAAAGTTAATGTTTCATCTTTTGTGAAACCATTGCATGAATTGTTATGCTTTGGTCACCTAATAACTTTTGTATGACCGTATTCCATCTGAGTTCAAAGTTTTTTGTAACTTCAGATGAACAATTAATTCCTTCACAACTTTGTTAAAAATAACATTTTGTTTCCATGTTCCACTTCTGAAACTGATGCATTTCAGTGGAGTTATTGTGTGCTAAATAGGATGTGCTTAGGGGCACACAGGGGGAAAGAACAGTGTATAAATCTGGTTTTACTACATCAGTTTAACCCATTTGCTTGTATTGCCTGTAGCGATCAGAACATTCATTCTTTTATTTCATAAAGCTGTAGGGAATACTTAGGGAATCATGGATCTGTGTGAGCTTTTCAGAAGGATTAATACTGTCCTAAATAGAGACCAGCTATGTGGCTGACACTAGTATAGCAATTATGAACAACTGTCTGAGATATCCATGTAACAGTTACTTGTTGAGGGTGAGAAAACATATAATTTGTAAAATACAAAAGCACATCCTAATTGAAGAAACATTTTAATACTCTTCATTGATTCTTCATTCCTTTAGTTTGTAAAAAGGGACTTGAAGGTTCTAGAGCTATACTTAGGGGCAATTTGTGTTGCAGAATAGTAGATTGTGCTTGCATGTATTCACAGTTTATACAGTCTTTGCAGTAAGATAAAAACAGGAAATGAAATGAAAGCCTGAAGATTAAGATCAAGTACTAGCAGCATAACCATGCTAACCCTGTCTTATGCCTTAAATATAGTCCCTACATAGAAAATAAAGGTTCAAAGAAAGATGGGACATTAGATATGCTGCATACCAAAGCACTGCATCCTATAGAAAATCTGCAGATTATGCAACAGAACTAGGGAAATTCAGAAAGGGAAGCAGGGTTATATAAAGCAGTATACAGTATGTATTTCTCTCAGGATCCTTTTTTTCATGCAGTACTGAACTTGTTTTTAATATCGGTATAACTTTTAAATGCCATTTCCTATTAAGAAAAGTTTGTGAAAGCATTTTTTCATTTGATGTCTTCCTTTTTTTTAGGCTTTGCTAAGGTTGTCTTTTAGCCATGTAGGAAATTGGGGGA